CAAACATCACAGGCATTCCTGGTTAATTTATTTCAAGCAAAAGGTCCGATATTTCTTTCCTTAGTGGTTTGCTGAATGGTGGGAATTCTTTGGACCAATCTAGAGTATTCTTCCTCAAGATATCAAGGAGGGATACAATCAGTTTAAATCAAGATTTGAAGAGGGGACCAGTACGTTCCATTCTTCTCTTCATTTCTTTTCAAAATTTTCTCTAGCTTGGATTTTTGCCTAGCAACACCAGTACAAGAAGAGTTCCAAGCTTCTTCCAATCCTAGGCAAGCAAGCCTCGGTTAAATGGTGGGATCAATTTGATGCATCCCGAGCAAACACACAAGGAGTGGCTCTATGGTTTCAAAAGAATCTGAAGAGTCTCAAAATCGCCGATCCAGAAACTTGTCATTTTCTTAATCGGAAGGCCAAAATTTCCGCAGCACTTGCAGCATCCACCAGCGATGAAGCTTTAGCAGCAAATCTTCATCAGATTCTTGATCTCCTGCAGACAGACTCAGAATCAAGTTCGTCAAAAGGAAAGACAACAAAGGAAGTCTCTTCTCCATCATCCTCATCAGGATCATATTTCCAGAATGAAGATGATTGCTTCGGAATCAACTTTGAAGAAGCATCTGAAGAAGACTAAGTTATTTCAATCTTCAAAATTATCCAGAGTTTAATCATGATAATTTTGTTAAATGGAGGACACGTCCATGTTACAGCTAGGGAGTACCCTGCTCCTCATATCATCATCGTCACTTATCGATATTACTCCTCCCCGGCTATGACCATGGTCATCCACCCAATCTGAAGAAGTCAACCAATCAAAGTCAACAATCACTGCTCATTTTGCGGAAAGGAACTGTTCACTGTAGCGGAAGCGGAAGTGTACTGTTCACTGTAGCGGGAAATTTCATTTTACTGTTGTAATAGTAATCACTGTTGTAATAGTAACTTTAATTTTTCTTGGAATTAATAAATTCTTGGCTTATCAAAAAAAAAAACATCACATATCAACCTTCACACCCTATTAGCCTACTTTCCTAATTAGATTTAATACATAATTGCGTCAATGAATATTTTTTATTTACACTTTGGAATAGGAAATTATAATTTAATTATTTATCTTATCACAAATATTATAAATTCATAATTGAGTTCTATAATAATAATTTACGATGGATTTATTGGTCGGACTTAATTATAAAAATTGTGTAAGATTGATGATTAATTTTTTTAAAAATAATTTAAATACTTAATTAAAAAGTTTCAAATAATTAACATATATTAATATTACTAATTTTTATAATAATCATTTCAAAAGTTATAATTAAGTTATAATTAAGATAGTTTCTATTTGATTTTGAATGTAAAAATCCTCTTCTTATATAATTTTGTAAAGTTTTTCTTGGAAATGTCATGTGATGTATATGTCTCGAGTTGAGTAATTTGAATTGTGTCATTTTGTTCTTAATTAATTCAAACACATATTTGGTAAAATTGGTCATTAAATTAATTGATAAGTATAAAATTGTTAAAAATATGTTTATAAATTTTATTTTAATTTAATAGACAAAATGTTTTATGTAACTAAAGTTATATATTTTTAGTTAATTTTTAGCTCTAACACTTTTTCATTTAAATATCCAATATTTTTAATAAAACTAATAATGTATCAATTAAAATAAATAGTGCAATGTTAAATGGACATAAATGAATTTTTTATTAAAATTTTGAGAGTAAAAATAAAAGACTAATAAACTGTAAACTCAATCACAAGTGTTTTTAAATAATTTCTAATTTAACTCAAACCTATGTAATAAAATAAAGTCCTTTATTTGAGAGTAAAAGAAATTTTCTATTATTTTTCTTGTGAGATATATTTTTTAATCCCGTGTTTTTTTGATTAAGTATTAAAGTTAATTACTTTCCTATCTTCATTTTATTTTTCTTAAAATCCTATTAGCAACGTCCACTATGAAATGTATGGACTCATTAAAAGTCTCTCTCAATGATCCACGTGCAAGTTGCAACAACGTTTTCAAAAAGATAATTTTATGACAATAATGTCTTATGATAAGAATACATTTGATGCCAGAAGCAACGTATGGTGTAAGACAATTTTGATAATTCCTTATGAAAACAATTGATTTGATACCACACAGCGACCTGTGGTGTCACTGATGTGGCCATTGTCCAAATCCCTGTATTGCTCCCAAACTTCTTCTGCATCAACTTTTCGATCTTGGTTGGGAAAATATTAATGAAGGAACTTGTGGCATAAATCTTGCCACGTAGAGATGGATCCTCCCTGTGGCAATTGATTTAAATTGAAACTTCAAAGGCAAAGAGATATTAAATGACTGATAAAATTAGTTAATGATTACAATCAGATGATATGGGATAGATATTAAAATAAATAATGTTTTCTAATAAAAAGATTCTTAAAAACATTTATAATTTGTATGTAACCGGACTCTAAGTCACTAGCAATATCAAGAGTTTTGTTTTATACTTTCACCTAATAACAAATTATCATGTATGATAACTTAATTGATTCTATAATACCTATCCTAAAAATTTAACCTATCATAATTCTGATTGATTGTAGTGTAGTGCATAGAATCTAAATTTTTATAATTAATTTGCAAAGATTTCAAGATATTAATCAGCATATATAATCAAATTATCAGAGACTGATTATCTCAAAGAAGTCCAAATATACATTTAAAGCAGTGTTTACTTTGCCTGCATGCATCTTTACAAGAAATTCAACCACCTTTCGAAATACCGATAACAATCTTTTTCCCACCTTTGCCACCACCAAATACACTAGGCATGCAAGTTCCTCATTTCAGAACTATAATGTCTATAAAGACTGAGAGAAAATTAGCATAATTTTGGTCATTATAAAAATGGTGTTTCTAGCAACCAACATTCAGTCAGGAATCAGGATATGTACACAAATCCATTGGATCTTTCTCTTTTCCAAAACAAGCACTCGTTGTGTATAACTAATTAGTACCAATCTTCAGTCAGCATCAACCCCTCAACTATTTCATGGTCTTGATGAATAACACAACACTAAAGCATGCTTAAGCTTCATGTCTGTTCAGGATCCGAGTGCCACTCTTGGAAAGAAGAAGGTCTCTCATTTCTCTGTAACCCCTGAGCTCTTCAAGTGCATCCGCCGTCTTTCGAGGCATGAAGAATCCAGAAGCAGTGGCAATTCCTCCCACAGGTTCAGCATCAGCCTTTGGGGAATGGGATGAATAGCAGCTTGGATCTTGGCGCAACGGCGGCGCAGTCCTGAGCATGTGCACAAGAACACCAACAGCAGCATCTTGTGATTTTTTCCCCATTGGCAGTGAAGTTGAAGTAATCTCTGCAGCACTCTTCCCAACCACGTTGTGACTATTTATGCATAAAATAGACAAAAAAGGGGGGTGTAACATAATTAGATAAGCATTTAGGTAGTCAAAAATTCAAAATCAAAGATGATTAAATAAGAATAATATGGTAAAACAGCATTCCTAAACATCTAAAACAAGCTCGAGTATAATTAGAATTGGCATGGCAAGTTACCATTCTGTACAAATGGCCAAAGCACTGCAAAATATAATCCAAGTTATCATCAGTTCCCAAAAGCCAAAAGGATTGGTCAATAATAGTGAAAGGCTTAAAAAAAAAAAGGAACACTAGGGCCATGTTACTAGCAGATAAATGACATGCAAATACATGTTCCTATAGCAAACAAGCACTGTACAAGTTGCCAAAGTAGAACCTATCATGGTAAAATTCAGGTTTAGTGGAAACCAACTATCCAACACAAGCAAATGTAGAAGGAAACTCACCTCCTCCCTGGTACTAATATATGAAAAAGGTAAGGCAACCAAGAGATACCAATGCTATAATAGAGCAATCAGAATTCACAAGTTCTCTTGGAGCATAAGCAATCATATGTTAACAAAACCATGTAACTAGTTTTTCTAATTTTGAGACTAATTGGATCAAAAGGCATGACCACATGGAAGTAAAGATATAAATCTATCCCATAAAAGATGGTGTGTCTATTCTCTTTAAAATGAAATGGCTTCATATTTAACAATAAGTAGGGCTAAACTATATATAGAGAAATAGAGAGGACAACCACCCTGTTGTTCTCAAAATATACAAGGAGATCCCAATTCTATCCACAGGAGGACAAGCAATAGTTTCTTATTGATATATACCTAGACAGGGATATAGATATCACTAACTACTACAGCCAAACATTTTATCCATAACCAAACTTTGACAGACATCTGCTATTGTCAAACTAAATTGACCAAACGTGTCAAAGGATAAATTGGATCATTAGTAAGAGGCTATGACAAACTTGGCTTTTGGGAATGAACTACTTGGTCAGAGAAATAATTGTTTTGACTAAATTGTGGGACACCCTGACTTTTAGTAAATTTTCTGATTTTCCTGGGCTAAAAACTCGGAAGAACACCTTTGTATGTAAATCAAAGAGTTAATATATAAAGAGTTTTACTCTATTTACATATGATTCTGAACTTTGTCAGATTACATAAAGCAGGGGAATCTATTAAATCAGCAATAAGAACGTTCAGTTATTTATTCTTCTGATATAGGAATTAAGATCTTTATAATCACAAGATCTTTTTTGTCTCTCAATTTACCTTGACATAAAGAAGTCAAGTTTACAGGGCTAACATTGACCGATAGTTCAAATTATGTTACAAGGTATTCTTAGAAATTATTAATTACCTTATGCCCAAATTATAAAATAAACCTGTGACAATTAAATAACCTCCACATATGACCCTTTTTCTTAATTCAATCTTGATATTAAAACCAATCAAAATCTCATAAATAACTCCTAGGAAACATCTATAAAGTTCCACAAAACAAATGCATGATATGATTGATATCAAATAATCTTCTGGTCTTTTGTTATTCATTAGCATTCCATGGAATATCAATAGGGTTTTTGTCCATTAAATACATGTCTAGAACCTTGTCAGTGTTGAAAAAATATCATTCCTGAAAATGCAGATTTTCTTTTGCCATTCTGAACATGTAAGCAGATTAAACTGACTTCTAATGTGGCACAAGTTACACATCCAATATAATTTTTAATAATAATCCAGGAAGGGTTTAAAAATTATAAATTCACTATAGGAGGAATTGCTGAAATTATCATTGAAAAAGGAGCTCTGCTAAAAGTACAACGGGTACAAATTCACTGTGCACTTAAATATGTTGTGAATGACAAAGTATATTAAAGTACCTGGATTGAACATCCGGTGGATCAACATCATCAACATCAAAAGGACATGAAAAGTCACCATCATCCAACTCATCCTGAAATGATAATCTACTTGAAGTTCTAGAAAATCCAATGCGTGGTGAGCCACTTGAAGATAACAACCCAGAGAACCTCCCTGAATCATCCTTGCTATCTCTGACAAACTATGAAGAAGATACAAGGCTTATCAAACAGATAAAACACATTTGATTTTAACTGCAGGAATAGAAATGAAGGAACAAGGTTACCTTTTGACCAGTCCTTGAAGCTTCTAATTTCCTGAATGACCTGATTCCAGATGGAGACTCGTGTGATGAACCATCATTCCTTCTGGGAGACAAGGGAGGCAGAGAATTCCGACTAGGATCTGAAAAATTGGGAGAAAGATTTCTGGAGCTTTTGCTCATTACTGGATGAGGTATAGTTACAGGGGCTGTTTCAGAACGTAGTCGAGTTTGCATTGGATTGCCACCACAGAAGTATGTAGGTGGCGATGGAGATGGTGAGGGTGAGAACGGAGGAGAAAGTTGATATTCATCATAACTTGTAGACCATTGCCGATTGTGCATTCGATAGTTATGCAATCTGACACCATAACCATCAGTAGGTGGGGATGGAAAATCATATGGCTTGGGAGAACCTCGATAAACCGGTGAGGAGCCAACAGAAGGATGGTTCTGTACAAAAGGTGCTGCCTTATGGAAACCATAAGTCCAGCTATGAGGACGTTCAAGTGGCACAGAAGTTGGAGGTGCTATCCCTCTCAGTGGAAAGGAAGTAGCACGAACACCCTTATCCGAGGCAGGGAAAGACCTCAAAGGATCAGTGTTGGGGCTTCCAACATAATCAGTAATTATTTTTGTTGGCAATGAAGCTGAACACTCAAGGTTGAAATCAGACAGCGTAGAGCGGTAGGTCACAGATATACAAAGGCGGCCAGGAAGAGCCTCAACAGGAGTGAAACTATACTCTTCCATCATTCCCCCTTCTGCTCGAGAGAAGGGATCGCTAAAGGAAGAAACCTTGTAAATAATATCAAAATTACAAGTATGGCTGGCAGTGCTTAGCTGCCTAAATATCTTATAAGCTGGGAGAAGCCTCATTTGAGAATAAAGAGCGCGAAAGAGTACTATCGACTTCTGGTATGTCTTCTTGTAAGAGCTAGTAATGTCACCAGTTTGGGGAGCCACAACACGGGGACAATCATACTGAACGATCCACCTCTCTATAACAGTCTCAACAGAAGAACCATCCACTTCATGAACTAGTATAATGTCAATTATCATTGGATCCATCAAATTCCTGTGCCAGAAGTGCAAGTTATCTAGGGCAGAAGGCCTGTCACCTAGTGCCAAGTTAAACCACTTGTCACTCCTCTTCACCCTAGGACCGATTGACATGTCACCACTTCGATCATGTGGCCGTAAAAAAGGTACCCTAGAGTCCAAAATGATGTGCAAGCACTTCAAAAGAAATTGATAAATAATTTGTTCCAATTTGCCCAATTCAGGCTGCACATTATTGTGCAAATCCATCCTACCCAGAGGGGAAAATGTGACGAATTCCTAATTAAATTCCCCCTCCACCCAAGAACATGTCTTTACCACAAAAAGAAAAAACCCACTACTTCTCAAACTCATGCATCTCTCTCTTTAAATATCAAATTCCACAAACACGAGATAAAGAACAGATAATACAGCTCACACACACAGTACCACCTCAGTGATCACCACCAGCGAAACCCCATCAGCAAAACCGGAATCATGGATTACTCTGATAATGCAAAAAACAACAATCAGCAAGCATGTCCATACTGCAATATGCCAATATCAACAACAAGCAAATTCCAACTACAATGCAGATACACACAACCCCATGAAAGAAAAATGAATTGGACACACAGATCACATGGGGTTTTCAAGTAATCAGCAACAAACTAATACAACTTAATTTTCCATAAAACAAAACACCATGATCATCATCATCAACAACAACATCAACATGGGGATCTAAGAATAAAGAACAAATTTTTATCACATGGGTAGCAACAGAGAATCTGTAGAGGGAAAAAAAAAAGGAAAACACTCACATGGTAGGAAGCGGAGACGAAGAAGGGTGTTGTGGCATTGGAAAAGAGACGCCATTGGAAGAAATAAGGTTGCGTAGAAACACACAGTGCCGTAGCGTTCTCTCTCTTCAACTCCTAATTATTGTTATCATTAAGATTAGATGTATAATAGTAGTAATTAATTAATAATAGTATATTGTATAATATTTTAATTGATCGTGTTAGGAAATGAGAGAAAATGCTAAAGTTGCATAGGAATTAGATAAATTTTGCAAATTGCAGGCACAGAGACAAAGATAAGGGGTTTCTTACTTTCTTAACCTCAGATTCTCTCTGTTATGATTTTATCATCTAAACTCTATGATTGATTGGTGCTTTTCATTTTCAATTTCATATTTCTTCGTTTCTTTTTCCAAAAAATAGGACCGATTCTGGTTGGTGGTGTGATGGTAATGGTACAGATACCACCTGGCCGTCGCATAAAACAACAAAAATGGTTTTGATTTTTTTTTAGATGTTGTTGCGTAAAAACAAAGATTTCAAAATTTATATATGTTCTTGTATAGTTTTTTTTTTTTTTTTATGTAAAAAACTATACGGCGAAAAATAGGAAAAGCAGAGCGTAAATAAAATTATTGATCTAAGAAAATTAAAAATTAATGTTATAGAAAATATTATATGAATAATATAATTGATGGAATTTGTAATGGACAAAACAAAAGTATTTTTTTATTTAATATTGTTGTGTTATTTTCAATTAAAATTATGGGGTATTCATTAGAAGGACAAAATTTTAATGAATGAGAATTATGATTTTTGGTCATAAATTTTAGAGATCATAATTTTTTTTAGAAATAATTAAAATTTATTTGAATAATTATGAATAATTTTTAAAATATTTATATATTTCATTTAAGAATTAAATATTTTTTTAATGTATTAAATAAGTAAATAAAGATAATTTGATATTTTTATTACAATAAGTGTTTCTTTCTAATTTAGAAATGTTTGATTCTAACTTTCTCCTACAAAACAATTATGTAAAAATCTGTGTAAAGAGTATTTTTAAAAATAATATTTATTAGAAATGTTATTTTTAAATAATAATTAAATATAAAAATAGCATTCCTAATATCAAATTTTTGGAAAAGTAAAAAATTTCATGTACAAAACTCCACTTTAATTCAATAATATATGTTAACATTTAATACAAATTCTTATTCTGTATAAATTATTAAATTAAAATAAAATTTTAATTTCAATTGAAAAATAATATCGTCAGCACTTGAGATATAGGGTTGGTGGAAACTTGGAAGTTGTAGATTATGAGATCCATTGGAAGGAGAAAGCCATAGATATAGATATAGTATATAATAATAATGATGAATAGTATATAATGATAAATAAAGGATATATTTTTCTTTTATTTTATTTTTAAAATAAAAATTTTCTTTAAATAATTGTACATTACATCTCTACTTTTAAAATAATCTTTTAGAAAATAAATGCAGGTATAGACCCACTAGAAATAAAGGAACACATGTCATCCATCACTTTGGCCTGGGAAAGCAATAATGAGATTTTGACTTTATTTTATTACTTGTTGCGGTGACACTGCTATAAATTACAAATTGAAAAACTTCTCTTGGGCCCAATTCTATTTGAAGCCCAAATCCACTCCTTCAGCTAAGGGACATGTACGGATCGAGCAAAATATACCTGGAACTCTTGCATAAAAAAGAATTAAAAACATATTTAGAAGTTCATACTTTAAAAATAATATATCATATTTAATAATATCATAATTAATATATTATAATTGTTCCCTTGTACAAATGACTTAATCAGCAATATGACTAGGTGACCAGCAGCTCTGTGCTTGAGAACATCCTACAAATATATGTATATATTCTGAATATCACTGTCACACGATACACAATTACTAGGAAATGCACTCCCCTTGCTTGAAGCCTCGACCTAGTAGGAGGACAGTCTCCACAAACTCTCCAAAAGAACATCTTTTAACTTTGCAAGTATAGGAAGGATCCAAATGGCTGACCAATTACCATTCTCCTTAAGGTGCCCCACTAACATTATAAGGTGTTTGATATAGGAAAAGATTTTTCATAAAAAAAAATCATAATTCTTAAAAATTATCAATCTTGAAAATCATGATTCTTATGAATAATTAAATTTTTTTAATTATTTATAAAGTTTTATGAAAATATTCATGCAAGATTTTTGAGAATTAAATATTTTTATGTTTAGTGACAATAGTATATTCTTGAGTATATAAATATTTTTTACAAGAATATTCTTTATTAAAATAAATTTATCAAATATATTTATTAACTAAAATATTATTACAAATATGACATTAAATTATTTAAAAAATTGAAAATTTATAGTTAAAATTATTTAAATACAAAATTTAAAAAAAATAAAGAGAAAAATGTTACATAATAAATATGAAAGATAAAAATATATTATTTTATTTTATTCAAATAAAAAATATTAACAAATACTATTAAACTGTAAAAATATAATATAATTTAATAATAATATTAAATTAATAAGATCAATAAATAATGAGATACATGAAAAGAAGAGGGAGAGAAATAAAGATATGAGAGGGAGAGAAAGGGGGAGGAGGGAAAATGAGAGTGACAAAGAAAGAAAGGGAGAAAGAAAATTAGAAGAAGAGTGAGGGAGATGAGGCAGAGGGAGAGTGAGAGAGAGAGGGGGGGGGGAGGAAGAGAAATAAAAAGAGAGTTAGTGTAATGTCCCGTACGGTTTCGTTTCCATACTCTTATTCTCCTCCGTGCTTTTCTTCCTTCCCGAAGATTTTGAGTTTTAGGTTAGGGAAGCTTTGCATCTTGTTAATTTGGACCAATTTCGAGTAGAATGAAGTGTTGAACTCCGTTTTGTTGAAATGTAGCTGTGTGTGTGGATTAACTTGAGGATTTGAGTTAGAAAAATTGGGTTTTTGTTGTTTGAAAGAAAAAGAGATGATTGAGTTGAATGAGTGGTTGCATGTAGTTGTTCTTGTTGTTCATGAGTTGTTTATTGATGGTGTTGTTGCATTCTTGTAATTGCATGTGTTTGGTTGCCTTAGATTTTTAGGTGATTGATGAAATTTTTAAAAATGGTAGAAAACCTAGGTGTTTTCTGTCATCAACAGCTGAGCCGTTTGAAAGGACTGAGCCCTTTGGGGGCGGCATAACAAAGGGAGATCTCTGAAACCAAAGGTGAGCCGTTTTAAAGGGCTGAGTGCTTTTGAAACGGCTGAGCCATTTTGAAGAGCTAAGCCCTTTGGAGGCCGCGTGATAGCGAGGATCCTTGGAGGTCAAGCGCTAAGCGCTTTGTGAGGCACTGAGCGGTTTGGTGCTTTCCGAATATGACTTTGTGTCCTTCATAAAAGTGTTAGCCTTGGATGTTAGATTTCCAATGACACAAGAATCACCCAAAAAAGGAGGTATAGAACTCCAGTTATGACCTTTTTAGTAAGAAAAAGTCAAGCTATCATGATTTAGGTTAATTGTTGCAGTTTTTACATTTTTTAACAAGGTAGATAATGAAATTAGGACTTGATGTCTTCATGAGAGTTGTAGGAAATCCTTTTGTCTTTTATATGAGATATAAATGAGCATGATAGGAGTAGTATAACTTCAAATGTGCTATTTTATGTGAAGGATGCAATTTCACAATAAGTGATTTGGTTAAGTTGAAAGTTGTTTTGGGTGCTTAGGTTGATTTATGTTGATTATTTGTGTAAGTTGGATGGGTAGATGAATTTTAAACATGTTGGTTGATTTGTATTATGTGTTGAAGTTGTTTATAAGATTGTAAAGTTATTAAGTTGCCTGATGAAGATGAATTGAGTAGTTGTTGGCTTAAGTTGTTTATATGTTATGTATTTGATGAAACTAAGTTATTTACATATATACCGTCTATTGTTTAATTATTAATAAGTTGAGATGTATAAGTTGAAGTAGTTTATGGTTGTAAAGTTGTTAAGTTACATTGAATTGATTTGAAGTTATCAAAACAACTATTGTTGTAAAGTTGAATGAATGATGTTTATAGTTGTGAAGTTGTAAAGTTGATATTGTGATGACTATAGTTACTCAAGTTATTTATTCAAGTTGATATTATGATGTCTATTGTTGTAAAATTGGGGACATATGATAAAAATATATGTCCTATGTTGAGATACATAGTACTAAGGTGATAAGTTGAAAGTTTTTTTTTTTTTTTTTTTTAAGTTGAATCCCTTAGTACCGTGAGGGCGACATAGAGGTAGTCGACCTATGTTATGGTTGAATGACCAATTTAAGTAAGGTATCTAGTTAAAGATGTAATTTTTAACTAAGTACTGGAGAGTGTGTGGTACTTGAAGGCAGTGGGTGGGCTAACTCCATATATGAATTAGTGATGCAAGCCAGGACCGTGATACTATAATATCCTTTATACAAATTAACCAAATTAAAATAAATAAATAATTTTCTTATCTTAAAATTTTGGTATAAATTACTAACATATTCCAACTAAAAGATAAATGGAAGTATGTTAACAATTTCTTTTATATATATATATATATATAAACACTACAATTGCCTTAATACAAGACACATGTAACAGTCAAGTCATTAGTTTCAAAAATAAAATTACAAGTTTTAACGAAGAAGTCCAAAGTCATTTTCCACAAAATTATTTTAAATTTGTGAATAAAAGACAATACTCTTTTTCTTTTTTGTTTTTTTTAGAATCTTGCAATCTACAAAACTTGGAAGCCCTCAACCAAATTTACCAAAGTTATATCAGACGAAACAAAATGAATCTTGAAAAATAAAAGTTATAAAATGTATCTAAGTTAATTATGATAACAATTGATAGAAAATAATGAATCACATCATGTATAATAGTTATAGATACAAATTATATATATATATATATATAT